AGCTAGGCTTCCATCTATTCGGAAAAGTAGATGGTCAAAGAGTTTCTGAATAATAAATATAATGGTTCCACTAAGGTGCAAATACACTGCTTTAAAACAATATTTGGTATTCCATCAGGACCTAATGTTACTTTATTTGGAAGTTCAGCAATTTTATTGAATATATCCAATCTTGAAACATTAGAAAAAGTGAAATTATTTGATAAGTTTACAGGTGTATCCAAATCATCCAAGTTCATATAGCTGCCCGGAGTGTAAACTGTCTGAAAATAGTTTTTAAACAAAGCTACAATATTTTCTCCATCATCAGCTACCTCATGTCCATAAGTCATGCATTGAGGGAGAGAGTGATTTGATTTTAAGTCACGTATATATGTCCAAAAGTATTTAGGATTGATTTCAAATTCATTATCTACTCTTTGTGTATATATTGCCCAACATTCATTTCTCACTCGTTTACACTCCGCACGTAGCCTAGAAAATTCATTATAATCAAGAGGAGATTTTGATTGCACATAGCATCTATGTGATATTTTCTTACGGTAAACTAGATGTTTCAATTCAGGCGAAAACCATCTGGGATAAGTACTACTTTTATACTTCTTGACAGGCCCATACAAAGCAATACCCTCCCCTAGAATCTCATAAAAAATATCCAATGCAGTATTAATATCATACTGTAACAGGCATTGCTCCCAACTGACACCTGCCAAATAGTTATTCAAACCAAAATAGTTGGCGTTACTGAAATCATAATAGAAGTCATCAAAAGAAAGATTATTTGACCTGCGCTTTGACTGAATATCACTCAATGTACATTCATATTGAATATGGTGCAAGCTGCCATCCAAAATAGGGTCCTCAGCTAAACGTACATCCACGCTATAGTCATTAGTGAAAAGAAGATCTAAAAACACATTTCTGTTGTTTGGAATACTAATCATCTGATAAGGTTGTAAAAAACCGAAGAGTTGAGCAACACCTACTGCCGAAGAAGCACCAGGACAAGTCACTGTCACACCAAAATCGTCGTTTGACCAAATAGCTTCCGGCAAGTTATAGTCCCCAAATAAATATACTTTCTGGAATAAATATTTTTGCATTACCAACTCAACAGTTTCACATTGTGAGCTGTAATAAATGTCCGGCATACCAGGTGGAATGTATAAACCAGCAATTATAAACTTAGAGCCTTCATAAACACATGAAATAAATAACTGTTCAACACTTTGTTGCGAAATACTTATTCTCACAGCCTTGATTGATTTTCTTACATATATAAGTATACCTCCACCACTGATTTTTTGACTAGTCAGAGTAGATCTATCCTTCCTGAATAAATTAAAATTAGATCATTCAAGTTCGCAGTCCAGAAAGTCACTATTCAAATTGCTCTCCACTAAAACTAATATATCGTACCAAGATCCATTCACAGCCAACTTCAGACTATCTAACTTAGTACGTAGTCCACTGACATTCTGGTAGTAGACAGCTAATGGGGTAACATTGAGTTTTCCTGTGAATTCTGCTTTTTGCACACAATCGTTGGTACACCTTTAACATACCTGATCAATAGGTCTGCCTCCCCATTATTACTTCTACGAGTAAGTTCTTCTCGAGCTGCTTTGTATGCATTCTGTTGCATTAGTGTGGAGTCATAAGCTAATTTGTAATTGCATGACTGTGCTTTAAGCTTCTGTTTTGAGCGAATGGCTTTGTGTACAATTTCTGAATTGTTGAAAATGACTTTTATGGGTCTTTTTTGCCATCTTTTTTCTGACCCACTCTAATAACTCTCAGAACTGAACTTTTAGCTTCATTCAACAAACCGAGTTCAGTAAAAATATTCTCAGCTATAGCAGTATCTTGCTTGATCTTATCTGGAAGTTGAGTAGCCGAAGACTCTGGGACATTGTACACCATCAGATTCTTTGATCTTATGAACCGTTCATTGGCTTCGAACAGAAGCTTATCAGCGTCAACTGGACCAGATTTTAGATCCCTAATCTCTTTCTTCAAGCTGGCCACCTCCTCCTGCAACTCTTTTACCCTTTTAATGACCAATGGAGCTGATTTGAAAGCGTCACGGCACTCAGTGCATAGGTACAAAAGGTTTCTTTTTTGGAGCACAACTGCCCTATTTTCGGAACTAGACAGACCAGAGCAGGGTTCCGTTAAGTGAAAGACCACCCTACAGCAGTCGCAGAACAGCAGTGAACCATCAATATCACCTTTACACTTGTTGCATTTAGAAGGCATGACTAACCACATTTTTTTCATTATTTTTCTAGGATTTCTCAAAGGATCCCCTACTACGTGTAGAGGTTTTACGCTTTTTCCCGGATACCCTGTATTTATGGTTTTTATTTTTATATTATAACAGAAGTCCAAACTGCCACAGTGAAAAAGCAGTTATTAAAAGAGTGAAAAATCACAGTAAAGAGTAACCGTGATATTTGAAAAAATATGAACGTCAAAAAAAAAAAAAAAATGCCGGAGAAAAAAGTTTCTGGAAAAACAATCACCCTGCAATTTTTTTGTGAATTAATGGGATGGTTTCTACATACTTTATCTTCAGATTTAACTTCCAGTTTAGCCGAAAGTGCTTATATCCTTTAAGTGCTTTAAACATTTTTTTAAATTGATCTCACTACTGGCTAAACCGAAAGTGGAATCTGAAAATTAAATAGATATGTAGAAATCATCCCATTAATTAATTGTTAGTATTAAAGTTCACTGATCTCATGTCCAAATAGCCCAGAATAGTCCAAAATAAAGCTATGAAAGAAAAATTGTAATTGTAATCTCGAGATTCGGGACTACGCGAGACTCTCGCCGAGTCTGGTCTCGTCTCGTCGAGACTTCACGAGACGAGACCAAAAGCCAGTCTCGTCTCGAAAAGTCGAGACGAGACGAGACGAGACCAGTCTCGAGTCTCGCGGCATCACTAAACCTAGATGCTCCACTGTCTAGCAAACCCAATATGTAAACCAAGAATAGATAACTCCAAGAAAGGACGTTGATCGCCACGTGCTTGTGAGAGGATAAAATGAAGAATTAACTGGCGACTAGCAGACCCCTCCATAATAGGTGCAATCACAGGCTCATCAACAACGGATACATTTTCGTTGGTAGTTCCAATGAAAGCAAAATCAGACTACTAAGATAACACGTCGACGAGGTAGAGGAACGTAATGATCAGCACCATGCTTCTTTGCCTCTAACTTTAAGCATTCACTCTTTAATTCCTCCTTAGTATGTACAACAGGAAGCTGGGTTGTATAGAATGGCGGTAAATTTCGAATGACAATTTCTAACTGAGCCTCGACAGGTACGTTACCATAACGACGGAATAACACATGGTAGTCAAATAATCAACAATTACCACAGATTGATCTTGTGTTTGGTCCAAAATTGTTGATAATGCTGAGTCAACAAGTCAGAAAACTCTTTCTAATTAGAAACTCTGGAAGGATTGCCCCATACCACTATTAGTATTGGCCGAAAACAAATATATAGCAAAATCGAACAAATCATCATGAATGGCATGCCTAGCCAATTCCAACTCATCCACTCGCTCCAAAAAGGCATGAACTGACATATACTTAGGCTGAAGTTTTGAAGTCAACGTCGTTCCTACTACGTTGTGTAACACTTCAAATTTGGGTTGTAAGGAATTTCTTTAGGTACTAGTTTCAGTTTAACTTAACTCAATAAATGATCCAATGAGTGCCACTTGCCTTCAGGATCATCTTTGGAAAAAACTTGTATTAATGTAACAGAATTTGTTTCAATTTTCTTTTTTTCGCAGCAATAAAATCGCACACAAAGTGCTATGGATTTGGTGCAAGCAATATCGGTGGTTTCATCAATTAGTGAACTAAATTTAATATTTTGAAGTGTTTTTATTAGGGAAATTCCAGTTTTCCTATTACATTTTTAGTAACTCCAGAAGCCTTCCTCCTACCCAGATTTACTCCTTTAATGATTGCTGAATCAGAGGCACAATCTTTGAGCACTGAGCAGTGGAATCAAATGGTCCGCTACTAAAAATGCGATCTTATGCTCTGCGAAAACGTCACACAGCTTGAGCTCAAACCTTTTTATCTTTGAATCCAATGATTAAGTTGAAAAAAGGGAACCATTTTTCGAATGGAAGTTTATTTTTCGAAAATTGGCTCTATGTTTTTCGTCGTGTCTCCATATTATTCCAAGATCAGAAAGAAATTTCGTTGAACATGCCCTATATTGGTATTTTATAGGATCATCATCGGTATAGTGGTCTAAGACTCCCGGCGGGGTCCGGAATAGCCACATCGCCAGCATAAATTCTTCTTCTTTGGAAGATAAATGTCGTCACAGGCATGTTTGCGTGTAACCACCACTGGTTGCAGAGCTGTTGGTCGGAGAACCGCAGTGTCCAAAGTTTCTGAAGAGGTCATCTAGGCATCGGTCTTCCCACCCCTTCTCGAATGGGTCGATATGGTCCAAATCCTCGAATAAAACCTACTCCTTGTCCTTGGCAGGCATTCCTTCACTCAGTAATTCTTCAAGCGCCTCTATCAAATTGGTGACTAGCGGTTAGTTGAGATACAGGGCTGACATCTGAAATTTAAAAATAATTGAAGGGGCAAGTGGATGAAGGAGTTATGTGGCAAAAAAAAGTTTCTGAATAAATTAAGTTATAGTTTATCTATTTGCATTTTTTTTAAGAGAAATTGTTTAGGACTGAAACCTACTGTCTGGGAGAAATGATAACTTTGCATTTTTAATACCCATATCGATTTTGAGTTTTGATTTTTTTTTCTGGTGAAATATGATAATTGAATGTACATAACCCCTTCTTTCATAATACTGCTTCGGTCATGAGATTCGAAATTAACATAAATTGTAGGTCAAGTACTCCAATAAAACTGAATTCAAGTGAAAAAAAAAACATATAGGCATATTAATTTATTACCAAATTCAAGTGAACAAAAGACATATAGGCATAATTAAATTTATTTGGTACGTCGTGCTTTTTTCGGCTTGGGCTCTTCTTGAATACCAATGATATTTTCATAGAAGCCTCTATGTTCTTCTAAGATAAAAGGCATTTGCTCACGAATGTTAGCAATTTTTTTTTCTGATATGTTCCCTCTTTTGTGACCAATTCTAGGAAACTCAATATCAGTAGGAGGCACATAGTTTGCAGGTGGAGAGTTATTTTTGAATAGGGAAACTTTCTTAAAGGGAACATATTCATATGATTCCTTATATAGGTAACTTCCGAATTCAACAACCCGAATCCATTTAATGCCGTCTCTAAAGGGAACTTTTTCATTTAAAACGTTTTTTTTTTTGTGAATCAGTCCCATTTTGTTTGGTAAACTTTCAGCGTCTCGAAAGTATGATTCCATGGCATTAACCGTCGAATTTCTTGTGCAGGCTGTTTTAATTAGTTGCCTATATTGATCTGGGGTATAAATATTGCTTTGTTTCCTTAGAACTTTCTCTATTCTACCAAAGTCTCGATCTGAGTCTAAATAAGTATGGCCAACCTCTGGAAACTTGTGATCAATAACTTTGAAAACACCTTTCAAAATCAATAGCTGGAAAAAGCAAATCATTTGAAAATTTTTGTTCTGGCCTGCACATGAATCTGACCACACAACAAGCTGTTCTTTGTCCTTTACGTTTTCACAAGTTTGCACAAAATTCCATAAGCTGCTTACAACTTCTGTGCTTCCTCTGCCGGCTATATCTTCAGTCCAGGTTTGCATAACTGATTTATGCCCTGCAGTTGTGATAACGTGAATGCCCAAGTTATAAAACCATATCTGTCTAAGATAAAATGCTTTAGACGTGGTGATTTTCGGTAAAGGCATAGTTTGTTGTAAGTCAACCGTTATGTAGCACACCTTTTCATCTTTTAAAGCACGTTCGCGGTCTCTGGACATCAACTGAAAGCCTAGTTGAACATTTTCTTCATGTTCTGCATTTGAATTTCCAGCGTCACACTTACTGCAAGTATCACTTTTCGGATGAGAAAATGATAGATTGAATTTTGTTGAGAAAATTCTTGAATATGTTGACTTTTTAACTAAAAAGCAGCCAGGCATATTCTGTTCTCTGCATTCTTCAATATACAGTCTATACATAAGTGACATATTAAGATTTGGAGCTAAATACCTCTTATGTGGGTTGCTTTCCCGTGAGTAATGACTTTCCTCTGATGGAAACTTTTTTATATGAGTCATAATAGCTTGCTCTACATCGTCATTAATCTTGTGGGGCCTGTTTGTATGAATACCTCGTCTATCTTTAGATGGGACTGAGCTTCCAGTTTTCAGCTTTTCTTTTATTATATCAACTTTTTTACGGCTTATTTGGTACAAGGCACAAAAAGCTGATTTACACACAAACACTTGTTGGTTATTTAATATCATGCTGTATTTATAAGAAGAAGTTTTATGCTTAATAGCATTTTTACGTTGACGAACAATGGGTAAAGGTGTGATACTTCTAAACAATAAGGCATTTTTTGCGTTTATGTCAAGTTTATAGAAGCCTTCAAATATTAGTTTTCGTGAATCTAAATCGAACTTTGTGCTGCATTTGAGTCTACAGCGTTCATTGCATAAACATTCAGAGCAGAAAGTTTTTGCAGGTACGCTTTGATTTTTATAGGAAATGTAACTTTCTCCCCTTTCCCTTTTAATTGCTGCTGATCGCCTTTTCCACGTATCTGGCTTTCTTATCCTTCGTCTTGAAGTTTTTTCTTTAACTGGGAACGTTTTAATCCTTTTTGTGCCCCTACTCGTCAAATTTGTATTGGTCTTTGGAACTCCACAATCTGTGTCATTACAATGTGCAATTTGTTGTTCATTTTCTTGCTCTCCATCTGGTTCGTTTTCTTGCTCATCCTCTGGTTCGTTTTCCTCATTTTCTAATTCGGAAGGTTCATATTCGCTACCACTTGATTCGCCAATCAATGAGGAGTCGTCACTATCATCTTCCAAATATGAAAAAATATATTGTCACAAATGCCGCTCTTACACTATAATATTTTTATTAGCTTACCATCAGCTAATTCCACCTCATGATCATCGTGTTGATAAAAATAACTACCCCTACTTGGACCTGCCACATTATGCATATCATGCTGATTATCCAGAGAATCAGATATGATTTTGGCTGCATTGTTACATTCCTCACTATCATCTTCAAACAAAGGTGCCACAGAATAAACTATGATAATAAGTATAAATGTACATAAATACATACATATATTTTCACCCAAAATATTCTGATGTGAAGAATCAATGCTGCTTGTGGTTACATTGTTGTTTTCTTGTTGCAAAGGCTCCAAAGAAAAAACTAAAAGTGAAAAGAAAATAGGTACCTATGCGATATTATTTTATTTGTGACATATTCACATATCCTGACTTGGATTTGCTTGGTTTTCTTGTTGCAAAAAAGAAGTATTTTCTGGTGTTTTTTGACTTTGTATGATTGAACTCGATTCTGCTTCAAATTGTACATCATCACAATTTAGCAAAAAAGTGGGTTCAATTTGTACTTCTTTAATTTCTGAGGTACCTACACATTTTTGACTTAATTTAATCTAATCTAGTAACAACAAAGCAAATATTCCTTACCTTGACTCTTAGGTTTTATATTATTTTCACTATGGGGCTCACATTCAGTAGTTTCCTCGCTCATCTCTTTCACCATTTGAAGCATTAATTTTCCGCGTGATGACATTTTTCATTAATAATAATTTGATTTGGAGCAAAACACAGCAAAACACAGCACAACAAATTTTGAGGTTAGGTAACTAGCACTTGCACATTATGCACGCCTCATTATGAAAAAATAAACAACGCCAACACGGCACACGGTCACGTAAGAAGGGGTTATGTGCACATATAATCCTTTCACCATATTAAAATAATTTCGCAATATGATGATTTCTAAGTGCATGAAGGAGTTATGGGTACATAGTCCCATCATTCACAGTACTTTTCCTAAAAATATAACAATGATAAGTTGGATGAAGGGGTCATGGGTACATAGCCCCTTTTTTCACAATAACTTAGCTGATGTTGTGAAGCAGATGAAAGGCTTATGGGCGCATAGCTCCTTCTTTCACAACAGAGTCAATAAGTTTTGTAACATGGCCCCTTCTTACTACTTCATATCTGTTTAAATCAGACAGGTAGCGTTAAAAGGGATCGGAGACAAGTTACATATGTACATAACTCCTTCATCCACAACAAAATCGCTATTTTTCAAAAAATGTCACATAACCCCTTCATCCACTTGCCCCCTAATAATAATGCAGTCTTCACTCGGAAGGTATCACAGATAAATGAAATTAATCAATATCTTAGCCCCTGCCCAAAAGAAAGTAAATTACAACTCTAACGGGGGTGCAGTTTATATTTATATGCTGCCCGGAATTTTGAAATAGATCCAGGCTCCAGTGCTCGCGTGCAGCCGCAGACTTGTACATCGGGTAGCCTGGAAGACGGTATTGTTGCAGTGCGTCCTGATATGCCGGGGTCCATCTTGTAACTTCTGGCTGATGCCGGGCCATATCAGCGATGTCTTTCTCCTGTGGTTGGAATATCACCACAGACCATTTAAGAGATGATTTGGGCCTTGGAATGGCCCATGGCGAAAGAGGCAACGTCCAGAGGCCCACCAGGAATGTAACTCGCGCCGTAGCAACGACAAGTCGGTTTCCACTGACCAGAGGCGTAACGCGCTGGGTCCGGTTAAAGGTATCACTTGTGGTCTGTCTAGTTGCGGTTGACTCGGAGGATATGCCACTTCTGGCAGAAGTACCAGTGCTTGCGGTGTTCTGGTAACGGGTTGATGCATGTCTTCGAGGGACGCCGTCCCGGTTCTGTATTTATGTAGCCAGTGGGAGGTCGATTTGGAGGCTGTTGGGTCCAGTGGGGATACTAACTCTCCGGGGTAGTCCTGGTCGGACATGTTCTATGATATTTCGAGTAAGTAAGTTGCTCTAGAATTCTGGATGCAGGGTAACCGTGACCGTACCATATTCCCGTTCCGTAAACTCTCCCTCTCGCAAAACACACACCAATACTTCCTCCACTTCCCCTCTCCGGTTGTCATGTATTGTTCGGAGCTTTATCCAAAATAAAGTATCTATTGTTTGGCCGGAATGCTTTTGTTTTCGTCTCCATTGGTATGCTACGTGAAGCAAGTGGGCCTTCGGCCACTTTAATACTGAGGGTGGCGCCCGACTTAACCGATGGATAATTAACCGGAAGTCAGTAGCACCATGGTCCACGACCAGTGCAAGAGAACCGAAATAGCACTACAAGAACAGCGTCTATATCTTTTACAGGTGGTAGTAGGAACCGTTCTGTTTTATTAGATTTTTTTAAAAAATATACCATGTAGGAGCACTCTGAATTAATTCAGTTGGTATAAAGGTGGGAATGTCTTCACAGTTTTGCTCATACACAAAAAGAATTGTTCTAATGGATCGGCCTGTTCAGGTTTTGCAGAATGTTCAAATTTTTTTTTTTTTTTTATTTGTCATCGAGGAACTCCCGAAAAAGTTCAGGCATCACCTCTGGTTCTTCTTCTTGATTGTTTGAAATCTTCCTCTTTCGTTGAACTCTGCTTGACCCAGTTGACTCTGTTCTCTCTGAATTGTGGACAAAGTCGAAAGAGGAGTGCCGGGTTGTGTTTTAAACTCAGTAAAAGGGTAAGGTATATCTTCACTAAGCTTTCATTGCTTTGTTCTGAATCACTCAATTCTGTATCCCCATCAGTCTCATCACGTTCAAGATGAACCTCATCTATGTTTGAATGTGTATGTTGGAATGAAAACTACTTTACCAACAAAGTAGCATGCCATATTTTTGCTTTTATACTTTAACAATACCCACTTATTTAAAATAGGTTACTCAAGTTTAGTTGAAGAATTTCGAAGCGGCATGTTTTTTTTGAAGTGCAATAATGGCATATTATCATCACTGCTACTGTTACTTGGTGATTGAACGCAGGATTTCGAAAATGTTGGCAAGTCATCGAACCTCTAGGGGCAATCGTCTCCTTCATATGGTACATCACATTCGTCTCTCTTTTTTTTTACGTTTTAATTGTTTAACAACATCAGCCGCTGACACACTCTTTCCAGGCTGTACTGAAAATCTTTTCCGTCTGAGTTTTTTATTCTCTACTATGACGCGTTTCTTCCAAAACGTCAATCACAGCAAAAGAAATAACAGTGTGAGTACCTTCGGCGTCTGTTACTTCAGGAACATTTGCTTAGAAACTAAATCTCGTTTGTCTTTCACGTTGGGTGGAACTGAATTTTGTACTCCTGCAGTTTCAGTACATTCCTGTGGAATGCCATCCACATTATGAGGATCATTATTTGTGTCATTGGGGTTGTCCATAAGGTCCATAACGTCTTTCTCCAAAATGCATAATATTATGGAGGACCCAGACAACCATTATACACTTCACAATTAATGATATTCCAAGATTTTCGAAGCGCCCTAGTCATCTAAATCTGCTCTTCAACAATCCCAATGCATGTTCAACAGTCATGCTGGTAGAAGAATGCAGGCATTGTTGAATTGAATTGCCCCCGTTTCTCTGTCAAGTTTCTATTATCCCAAAATGGTGGAATTAGCCATTGCCGAGCTGGATAGGCTGAATCGCCTAACAAATAATATTCACCAAACAATGTTGGATCATTTAGTGCGTTCTGGAAGAGTTCTGATTTTTTTAGCAACCTTGCATCGTGTAAGACTCAGTTTTACCACAAAAAAACATCTTGTTCCATTTCATAAAATATTTGTACTCAAACCCAGGGATGTGCCGTAGACTATGAAATCTATTTTACGCGGTTTGTCTACTCGTTGTCTACGTATTGTTTACATCCACTTTTTTTCATGTAGACTATGTAAACTACTAGCTGACCCGGCGAACTCCGTACCGCCTCTGAATTATTAAATATACCTATTAAATGTTGTGTTAACGTATCTATTAGCTGAATCAAATTCAGTTTTTTTCGATGGTGAATTTGGCTTTGGTTGAAGAAAATTAATGTTTACTCTCTGGATCAGAAGGCACCTAAAATTAAAATTTTACATCATCCTTTTTTAGGCAGCTTGTGGGCATTATTCTTGTAAAGTGTACCACCAAATAAATAAACTCAGGCACAGGAATGTTCAAAGGATGTAAAGAAAACAAAAAAAATCTCTAGCGCAGCCCTATTTCACTCTATCTGCACTGCATGCACTGCACTACTCCATCTGTTCTACTCTATCTGCACTACTCTATCTGACCTACTCTTTCTGCTCCACTCTATCTGATCGGAATAGTGGAATAGTTCTGTGCAGCATTGTTCTACTGTATCTGCAATGCCGAGCTTCGTTCCAGGTATCAGAGATGGCGCGGTATACAAAATACAAAATAAACTTGGTATCGGTTATAAGACATGGCGCCGTATGCGGGCTTAGTAAATTTTTTTCATAAATAAATAAAATAAGTAATGAAATGACCACATTAATGACATAACAACATGCTGGTACTGTCAACGCTGAAAAAGGTTTGAATTTGACAGCAAAATGATGCTCCATTTATTGAATAATTAATTTATTACAAAAAATGTGATAAATGAAGAACCGCTCGACCGATTTTGTGCAAACTTCACATAAACTATCTAATAAATAGTCCGAACAAAGCCTAAACATTTGGTTTGGCTAGGTGAGTCCGTTCTTGAGCTATAAAATTACAACGAAAAGTGGCATTCATTTTTATATATATAGATGTAGACAATGTAGACAACAGAAAATTTAAAATTTGAGTAATTTTTTTGAAAGTTTGCATTGCATTAAATATATATTGTATCAAATTAGACATTATCTGCAGTTAAATTAACTCTAACAAAGCAAAAAACAAAACAAAGCAAAAACATAACCTTAAAGGCCTGCCAACTGTCAAAAATTGTATATTTTACGCGTTGTCTACACGTTTTACACGTTGTCTACATAGATTACATAGTTTATATTGTCTACGCGTTGTTTACACCAGACGTAGACAATTTTTGTTTACGCGTAGATGCCCATCTCTGCTCAAACCTATATGTATGTTTTTGAGGATAACAAATACCCAAAGTCATAGTCTCACAATTTTTGTATCGGCTACACGTTTTTCGCTCTAATCAGAGCATCATCAAAGTATTTCATTCCAAAGTATTCCGCCCCTGGTTGAGTATTAGGATTTTCATCTCCCGCATTTTTGCCTAGATAGAAAATAAATTTTCAAATTTATAAGCCTAGACAATAAATACGTGAAGAATTTATCTACCTGTTGGAACGGCTAAAGAAGGATCTTTGATTTTTGGAGAATCTTCTTCAGTGCAAGTAATTTTAGAGCATGAATATCGCAGTTTCGATCCTGATGCAGATGGTCCAGGTTTATCGGTCACTTTTTTATTTCCTGCCTTTTGAGTTTTGATTGGAGTAGAAATCTTGAACATAATGGAATTATAATTGCTGTTATTTCCGAAATGCTTTTGGAGCAATTGATAGAAACAGACTATGAAAAACTTTGTCAATGTGGCTTCGGGGAGAGTATTCGAAACTTTTTTGAAAAGTATTTGAGTAATAAAAGCAAAAACTAGTTTACTTATAATACCACTAGTTAACCGGAATAATTTTCTCACTCAAGAATATCATTCTCAATGACTTACAACCGCAGATAGACGGATTTATAAACAAAAATATGTTGACAACATATCTGATTCTTTCTATCGTGACTAAACTCCCCTACTACTAAAATGCCATATTTATTCGTAGGAATATATTTTTTCTTTTTCTAACATGGGGTTGAAGTCCTGCGAGTTCTGCATTTTAATAACACTTAGCAACCCATCACTAGACTAAACTACGCTCAACTCCGCCTCCTGTTTGTCATAGAGTAATACGTTCCGATCTTGCTCAGAGTATGCTCTTGTCAGAGTATGTTGTTGTTTTTATCTTATGCGATGATGATTAGTATATGTTAAAAAAAGACCAAAACATCAGATACGTTCGTGTTAGTCTGGAATACATTTCGAATATCATCGTTTTGGTTTTGGAGTGAGGCTGGTCCAATTCTGGCAGTTCAGTCAGTGATGTGCTTAGCTTAATCATGTGCTCAGGGAGGCGGGACTTAGATCGGACGACGTATCCCTGCCACGGACCGCCCGCACCCCAAACCCCCCTGGCTTATAAACATGTTTTCAACACAACAAATAGTATTTTATGAATGGGATATTCTGTCTATCTGATCATTCTTGAGATCGAAAAAATTTCCGGAAATAATAATTGTTCAGTAAGGTGAAGTAGGGTAAATGTGATAATGGGGCAAATGCGAGACTGATTCATAAATTTAACGTAAATATAAAACTAGTGTCGCCATCTACCATAGAAGCTTTTAAACTTGCATTCAAATAAGCGCATTACTAGAACCGACCTCATTACAGCCAGTGTTGGTACAGGCGACACATTAACGGCTGAACATACTCTATAACCTAACTTTAAATTCGACACGTGTTTAGCAATTTTCATGTGAAATTAATATTTGCTGACGTAAGTCTGTGTTGGTAGTTTGAAACTTATTTATTAGAATTGTATAAAATGTGTAACTATCGTTCCGACTAAAAAATTAACGTTTTGTATTTTTTGTGTTTGTTTATATCACGTTTGCCTCGTGCAAATTCTGTTTTGGTGGCAAATGTGAATCAACTTCGGGGAAATTGACGTATATTTTTTACCTTGACTGCGCGCGCAACTAGTGGGTTGCAGGTGAGCGTCCAATGAGAAGCGAGTTTGTTACGGGCTTGCGTCATATTGTCTGTCGTTTTCAATCTGACACTTTCCTTATGAGAAGCGAGGGGGTGAAGGATATTGCCAAAACAGGTGAGACGTCAGGTGACCATCGGCGTTCTAACGTAAGGAGCCACAAGCTCACATTCCTTGGTAGTATCAGATTAAAATCGACGGACTTGTATTTCTATTCAGAGGCGAATTCAGAATTAATCGTTCCTTCTTCTTTGTAACGTGTTTCGACTCAGAGCAAACTAATACTTCACGTATGTATTACTTCTCAACTCATCGCAGTGTTGTTTGGGGTTAGGTTATATCCGGGGCCCCAGCACTTCGCGCTTCCCCGCTCACCGATAGCTACGCCACTGTTCTCCAGTATCAATACGTCTAATACAAGAAATAATTGTAGGCCCTTCAAACATCCACTGACCATCTTTGCGAATCATCACTTCTTGCAAATCCCGCAAAACGCTCTGGCCTTTAGGCCGCACTTTGAAATACAAATTGGGCCTGTCAAAGCCAGGACAAATCACTTGGGTATTTTGCAATTTCGAAACACTAATAATGTCCTCGTAGACATTTTTGGTTGCGGTTGCAGTGACAGCCAATACGGACACATCCACAAAAATCTCCTTTGAAATGCCCAACTGCCTAGACTCAAGCCTGAAATGCTGGCCCCAATTACTAACGCAATGGGCCTCATCAACGGCAATTAGAACCAATCGGCATCGCTTTTTAATCTCATACAACAACTGCTTTCTAAGCCAACGAAACTCTGGAGTCAAATACACTATTTAATAATTATTGTTTAAAATTCCTCAAATTGTAGCTGCTGGGTGGGCTTGGGCACTGCCGAGTAAACAAGCTTATATATTTGGTACACTCAATGATAGAACTTGGTCTTGCATTAGGGAAATCAACGGCGATATCACTGAAGTCGTCCCTTGGGAGTATATGGCCGAAAATTGGTACAGCAAAGATTTTCCATTGCCAGTGGCCATAATGCCGCAATTGTCTTGTTTCTTATTCAATATTGAACTTATTATTTGCCACTGAAACGGCCTGAATTGATGGTGGCCAAAATGTCTTGATAGAACATCTAACGATCTTGGATCGGGAGGACGATTGGCCGGATTGATATCCATCACTTGAGTCGGTTGCGAGTAGATGTCTTGATTTAGTAAAAAGTTCGGTCTGTGGGCCGGAACTAAATATATTACTTGAGTCGGTTGCGGGTGGATGCCATGTAAATTTTCCAATTGCGAGGCCGCATTGTTTAGCAGTTGGTCGTTTGTTTCATTTTGAAGGGGAGAAAAAATGGCTATGATGAAGAAGTATTTTTTTTGAAATATCACTTCAATTAAAGTCAGAAAAATATAAAAACCATTTTACGACATTTCGTTTTTTCCAGATATCTCCGGAAGTATCCGGAATGTCCTAGATATAGTCTAATAGTCATCGCCGAAAAAATTCTGTGAATTTACTAAAGCTAGTTTTTGGACAGTTGATTACAGTATTTACGTACATAAACATACCGCGGTCAGTCAAGCGAAACTTGGGACAAGGCCCTATAGGGTGTCTTGTTAAAGGTTTCGAGATAACTTGGGTGATGCAACGAATTTATTAGAGCTGAAAATCGTTATACATATTATATATAACCTATAAAAAACAGTAATGTTAGTCAGTCAGTTGGATAGCGGGACCATGCTGGTCAGTTAGCCCCAATAAATGTAAAAATCTACAAGAAATATTATCACTAAACAAACCTATTAATTTATACTTCAACCTACAATTTTGAATTGTCACTCTCACGCCGTTTTTACATAAATTGGGGCTGAACCACCTCAATGGGGCTGAGTGACCAGCCCAGTTCCGCTATCCAACTGACTTACTAACATTACTGTTTTTTATATGTTATATATAATATGTACAACGATTTTCAGCCTTAGTAAATTCGTTGCATTACCTAAGTTATCTCGACAACTTTAACAAGACACCCTAGGTCTTTGTCCCAAGTTTCGCTTGAATATTTATGTACAGGGTGTTCCATTTATGATGGTATTGGGGGTTATCTGCTAAACTCGTGGAGGTAGTAGGTAATTTCACATCCCCAGGCCAATTTTTTATGATGGATCAAATGCCGCAAACCGCAAGTCTCTATCTTGTACTCTTCGGAGATACAGGGCGAAACTTGAAATTTTCACTTTTCAAGGGTAGTCATTATCTCGCGTAAGAAAAAAGATATCAAAAAGATGAAAATTGTATCTGACGCAGCTTTTTACGTAGATTTCATTGGCGTACTGCATTTTTTTCCGAGGTACCGTTTAAGAGATGACACAAACTTCATCTTTTTTGAATAGGACAGCCTGTAAATTTTAAAATTTTTTGAATACCTACGCATAAAATTAACTTTCCAATGATATATGTATAATTTGTCTATATTCTTTTGTAATCTGCCAATATTATTATGGTATTTGAAACTTTCCATAAGAAATAACCCTTGCAAATCACATTGAATATTTGGTTTTATTTTCTGGTGTGAAAAACTTTGGGTGGTATGGCGGTAGCGGGAGCAAAGGCAGCAGCGATACGGGATTAGAAAATGGTTTTTATATTTTTCTGACTTTAATTAACGTGATATTGCGAAAAAAAAAAATACTTCTTCATCATAGCCATTTTTTCTCCCTTTCAAAATGCTACAAACGGACTCGCAATTGGAAAATGTACATGGCATCCACTCGCAACCGGCTCAAGTAATAGATTTAGTTCCGGCCCACAGACCGAACTTTTTATTAAATCAACACATCTACTCGCAACCGACTCAAGTGATGGATATCAATCCGGTCAATCGTCCTCCTGACCCAAGATCGTTAGATGTTCTATCAAGACATTTTGGCCACCATCAATTCAGGCCGTTTCAGTGGCATATAATAAGTTCGATATTAAACAAGAAACAAGACAATTGCGCCATTATGACCACTGGCTGTGGGAAATCTTTGCTGTACCAATTTCCGGCCATATACTCCCGAGGGACGACTTCAGTGATATCGCCGTTGATTTCCTTAATGCAAGACCAAGTTGAGTGTACCAAATATATCAGCTTGTTTACTTGGCAGTGCCCAAGCCCACCCAGCAGCTTCAATCGGAGGAATTTTGAACAAAAATTAGGCAATAGTGTATTTGACTCCAGAGTTTCGTTGGCTCAGAAAACAGTTGTTGTATGAGATTAAAAAGCGATGCCGATTGGTTCTAATTGCCGTTGATGAGGCTCATTGCGTTACTTATTGGGGCCACCATTTCAGGCCTGAGTTTGGGCAGTTGGGCATTTTGAAGAAGATTTTTGTGGATGTGCCCGTATTGGCTGTCACTGCAACCGCAACCGCAACCAAAAATATCTACGAGGACATTATTAGTGTTTTGAAATTGCAAAATCCCAAGTGATTTGTCCTGGCCTTGACAGTTTGTATTTCAAAGTGCAGCCTAAAGGCCAGAGCGTTTTGCGGGATTTGCAAGAAGTGATGATTCGCAAAGATGGTCAGTGGATGGTTGAAGGGCCTACAATTATTTATTGTATTAGACGTATTGATACTGGAGAACAGTGGCGTAGCTATCGATAAGCGGGAGAGCGCGAAGCGCTGGGGCCCCGGATATAACATAACCACAAACAACACTGCGATGAGTTCTGAAGTAATACATACGTGAACTATTAGTTTGCTCTTTGTCGAATAACACGTTACAAAGAAGAAGAAACGATTAATTCTGAACTCGCCCCTGAATACAAATACAAGTCCGTCGATTTTATTCTGATACTTTGAAGGAATGTGAGCTTGTGGCTCCTTACGTAAGAACGCCGATGGTCACCTGACGTCACACCTGTTTTGGCCATATCCTCCACCCCCTCGCTCCTCATACGGAAAATGTCAGCTTGAAAACGACGGACAATATGACGCAAGCCCGTAACAAACTCGCTTCTCATTGGACGCTCACCTGAAACCCACTAGTTGCGCGCGCAGTCAAGGTAAAAAATATACGTCATTTTCCCCGAAGTTGATTCACATTTGCCCCCAAAACAGAATTTGCACGAGGCAAACGTGATATAAACAAACAAAAAAAATACAAAACCTTAATTTTTTAGTCGGAACGATGGGTACACATTTTATACAATTCTAATAAATAAGTTCCAAACTACCAGCACAGACTTACGTCAGCAAATATTGATTTCACATGAAAATTGCTAAACACGTGTCGACTTTAAAGTTAGGTTATAGAGTATGTTCACCCGTTAATGTGTCGCTTGTACCAACACTGGCTGTAATAAGGTCGGTTAGAACCGACCTTATTACACTGGTGTTGCGCTTATTTGAATGCTAGTTTCAAAGCTTCTATGGTAGATGGCGACACTGGTTTTAAATTTACGTTAAATTTATGGATCAGTCTCACATTTGCCCCATTATCACATTTACCCTACTTCACCTTACTGAAAAATTATTATTTCCGGAAATTTTTTCGATCTCAAGAATGATCAGATAGACAGAGTTATCCCATTCATAAAATACTATTTGTTATGCTGAAAACATGTTTATAGGCCAGGGGGAGGTTTGGGGTGCGCGCGGTCCCTGGTAGAGATACGTCGTCCGATCTAAGTCTCGCCTCCCTGAGCACATGATTAAGCTAAGCACATCACTGACTGAACTACCAGAATTGGACCAGATCCACTCCAAAACGATGATATTCGAAATGTATTCCAGACTAACACGAACGTATCTGATGTTTTGGTATTTTTTTAACATATACTAATCATCATCGCATAAGATAAAAACAAGAGCATACTCTGAGCAAGATCGGAACGTATTACTCTATGACAGCAGGAGGCGGAGTTGAGCGTAGTTTAGTCTAGTGATGGGTTGCTAAGTGTTATTAAAATGCAGGACTCGCAGGAATTCATACTCGCGTTAGAAAAAGAAAATAAATATTCCTACGAATAAATATGGCATTTCAGCAGTAGGGGAGAAAGAATCAGATATGTTGTCAACATATTTTTGTTTATAAATCCGTCTATCTGTGGTTATAGGTCATTGAGAATGATATTCTTGAGTGAGAAAATTATTCCGGTTAACTAGTGGTATTATAAGTAAACCAGTTTTTGCTTTTATTTTTTCAAAAAAGTTTCGAATACTCCCCCCGAAGCCACCTTGACAAAGTTTTCCATAGTCTGTTTCTATCAATCGCTCCAAAAGCTTTTCGGAAATAACAGCAATTATAATTCCATTTTGTTCAAAATTTCTACTCCAAATGTTTTGTTACATACTGCCATATACTATTGAAATTTTTTAGTATTTATGAGTGAATATTTATGATGGCGGTTACTACACTGGTCAGCAAAATTAACGCACCACTTATTTATTTCTATTTTAATGAGGTTGGAATTGAAACTATGGATTGGCTAGCAAACAGTTCTGATTTTAACCCAATTGAGGATGTCTGAGACATGATCTATCGCCATTTTTGGGAGCTTCCTAACCCCCCTAACACTTTCAATGGGCTTACTGGAGATATTGTTCAAATATGGAATAATTTGGATTAAAACGAGATAAGGCCCGTAATTTTAACATCAAAAATCGCTGCCGTGCTATTATTCAAGATAGAGGAGGAAATACCGGTTATTAATTATTTTTAACTAAAGTTAAAAAAAATATACAGGGTGTCCCAGGGAAAACAGTCCACCCAGATTTATTGGATTTGGGATGAGAATCTGGGAAAATGCTCGAACACGTC